ATTGCAGGCCAATCTGATCACTAGTGGCCCTTTTGAGTAAACCTGTAGGTGGATTAAGAATATAAATAACACAGTTGGGAAGGATTAAAATTGATTATCACTCCAAAATCATGTTAGAGCCAAAGGTAAAATTCCAGAAACTACAGAAACCATCTACAAGGGCTGAAGGTGAGGGAAAGAAGATATTTCCATTGAGATTCCTTGCACACATCTCTGAATATCAGCTCTTGGCCTCTTTATTCAGCTCCAGAGAAGTGAGGAGGGAACTTTCCCATGGAAAAACTCTTTTATGGTGTCCCTAAACATGTGTAATTAACAGACTGATAAGACTGTTGGCTCAGGAACCATAGAGCTGACCTCCATCGATCGGTTGGTTTGTCCTTGGCATCTCCGCCTTCCTGTGACCTCTGTAGAGAGAGGCCTTAATTGCTTTGGGCTGGGCAGAGCAGCAGCTGCCTTTCTGAATCAACCCTTCTCAGCAGGGCTGTGCTACAGAAGTGGGCAAGCAAACTTCTTCACTCGGCTAAAGAGATCCTTTGGGCTAAGCAGGAGCTGTATGAGCAAAAAAGAAGCCCATTCCTAAGCAGGCAACATTCTTGGTGACCTCATCTTCCTCCTAGCTCGGGTCCAGTTGGAGCTATGCATACAGGGCAGACTTCCAGTTCCTCCTGTCTGGGACTCACTGTGGCAGATATAAATAGACCAACACTTTGTCTGTAGCCATTGTTCTCTTAACTGCCCATTGTTTCTGGAAGCAAAGCTTTGCTGTGCAGCAGCATGCTCTCTCTCTCTCTCTCTCTCTCTCTCTCTCTCTCTCTCTCTCTCTCTCTCTCTCCTGTCTCTCCACTCTTTCCCCCTTTTTTTTCTGTGCCTTTCTCTATTGTGCAAAAGTCTGAATCTCAGCTCAGCCATTCCCATCCTGTCTTTGCATTTGTCTGGTGCTTAGGGAGAAACTGAAGGGGGGAACTGACTTCATATTGTAGAGCCGCTGGAATAACGTGGCCTCATCTTTTGATTTCAGTAATGCTGTTGTCTCAGTTTTTCCATGATATATTTGTGGTCGAGATGAAGATATGTGGCTCTGATGATAGTAAAGTCAGGAGGATTTGTAACTCATTGAGCAACTATACCCAAAGGGTCTTGATTAATGTGTCAGTGTCAAAGTAATGCACAGTCTCTCGTGTTATGTTATGGGGGCTCAGCACTTGGTCATTGCCTTTTCAACAACATCAGGGGCTTAGAATAGAGAAAGATGCAGAACACATACTTAGTAAGCTGCAGCTGGTGCAAAGCTGAGATGGGTAGATGATAGGATGAGGATGGATTCATGATATAAAAAAGTGTCTACACATGGGCAAAACAAACAAGGTGAAGTTTAATGTGGAGAAATGTAAAACTTTACTTTGAGGTTAATAAAATCCAGTCAATAGGTGCAGAACAGACTCCATATCAGTTTATATGGGGGCGGGTAGCAGTGTACTTTGAGTGACTGTTAATGTTGTCCTAGACTTCACTGACCAACGCTTGCAGGATACAATGATCAACTTGGTCTCATTTTGATCTGGAGAAGTATGTTTGTCTGTAGATGCTTATGAAGATCTTTAGGGACATAGAAAGGCTTCTAGGTGGGGTGGGTGGCCAAAAACCATGTCATCATGAGTAGTTTGAGGAATCTGGGAGTTTTAAAACCTGGTCAGAAGATATGACAAAGGAGAGCAGTTGAAAACTTTTAGATAAGAAAGATTAAATTTGCACACTGTGTCTTCAGCCAACAGAACTGGGGTTGATGGATGGAACTCTTAAGAAGGCAGATTTAACTTAATGTGTAGGATCACTTTTTAATCATTATTGTGGCTTATGAATGAAATGGAATGGCTCAGAGTGGGGAGCAGCTGGTGTCTGAGGTGAGGCGACTTCTGGGGACAGATGGTGGGTTTCCCGAGGTTCTGCCATTCCCTGGATCACCTCTCATTCCTTTGTCGATTGGGCAGTGTGGGCTGGATGTGTATGTGCTTTGCTTCCACACCAGTGCCTGGCAGAGTGAGAATCTTTGTCTCCTACACTGGGAAAATGGAATGAAATATTCTTAGTTTTCATCGTGGTTTCCCTGGGTTGAAAACAGACAGTCGTGCTGTGTGAATGTGTATGGGTGTGCATTTTCCTTCTCTGTCCAGATTTATTTATTAAAAGAAAAACACATCTGCATAAAAAAGCCTTAGAACTAGGAAGAATGTCCACTTTGTTTTTCTTTCTGTAGCACCAAGACATGTGGGGTTTCAGCTTCCTTTGAGGGGTTTTTGAAGACTGGCTTTCATCTCAAACAAGGCTTTTTCCCATTGGAAAGACAGCCCTTTTTTGGTTTAAAAATGTATTTATATAATGTATAAATAAATAAGAAAGTGGGGAGAGAATTTCCTTTCAAAACTTATGGAAAAGTGTTGTTTTCTGAACTTGATCAACTGAGAGTAAGAGGCTGCCTCGTCCCAGCCTGTCCCTATCCTGCCTTCTCTTTTTAATCTGGTTAGAATTTTTCTAATATTCCCTTCTTCTGCTCTCTGCTTTCCTTCCTTCTGTGCCTCCTTCTCTGCCAGCTCTTACCCCTCTTTCTCTTCCCAGGTCCTGCTTCCTCCCTGGCTGCCCATGCCCCTCTCCTCCTCCTCCTGTGGCCATGGCCCATCTGTCCCCAGCTCCTGTCTCCTTTCTCTAAAGTCTCTCTTCCTTCTGTCCTTCCCAGGCATGGCCCATCTGTCCCCAGCTCCTGTCTCCTTTCTCTAAAGTCTCTCTTCCTTCTGTCCTTCTGAGCCACTGGAGCACTCTCTGGAAAGAGGCCGGTCTCTGTGTTTGTTTCCTGCGTGGGAGGGAGAGGCAGGCCTTGAGAAAACAGTTCAAAAGTGCAGAAAAACTTTACCTCTTCCAGCCTAAATAAATGGGCTCTACTCCATTTGTTTGCCCAGATTTTTCCTTTGCCCATAAAGAAAACTCCTGATCCTCCACCTTGACCAGCCCAGCCTTCTTGGTGATATTCAGGACCCCTCTTGGCCATGTCTGCTTTGTCCCCCGACTAAGTGTCAAGTAGGCTCTGGGCCGGGGCTTGGTGTAGGCCAGTGCTGGTAAGATGTGCAGCGGTGCCTGTAACTCTGGGTTGTGCTGCTGTCTGCAGAAAGTCTCAGTGACGGAGGCTCTTCCCTTCTGCAGAATGCACTGAGTCTCAGTTTCCTTGCCTGTGGGGAAGAGGTTTTACTTGGTTGTTTTGAGGGTCATACTAAAGTATTGGACAAAATGCTTTCTAAAATGAAGAATTCTGTCCAAATAGCCATAGTGATAAATATAGGAAGGAATAAGTGAAATTAAAATAAATTGGTTATTCCGAATTAACTGGCATCTTTAGCATCTTAGAGGTGGAAGCCTCAAAGACTGCTAGGAGAAGCTGGGATAATAGGAAGATGTGGGACATCAGATGTTTTCCATTTTCTCAGGTGGGGTTATCCATGTCAGTACCAAAAGCCTGACTCAGTTGTGAGTATTTTAGTTGAGGGCAAGGCAAGCGTTTCCCTTGTTCAGAATAAGGGCTGGGAGTGTAGCTCAGTGGTACAGTGTTTGCCTAGCATATTACAGGCCCTGAGTTCCATCCCTAGCATATGTGTGGGCACATGTGTGAGCATCATGGGATGAACCCATTGGATGCAGTATGGCTGGCTGTAGAGCTGCAGGAAAGGGCCATGCTCCCTCTTCCTCCTTAGTGATGTGGTGGCTGGGGCTTTGTGTTTTTTATGACAAGAAATCATACTGTTCTGGGACATTTTGGACTTATAAAAATAAGTTATTTGGTGAGAATCAAGTGTAATCATGTATATAGGAAATGATTTGAAACATGTGAAGCACTTTGTACATGGTTTGAACTGATCATTCAAAACTTTAAGTTATTCTTCAAATCTCTCTTTCTCTTTTCCTTTCTTCTTTTATTTCTTCCTATCTTTTTTCTGCCCCCAGTACTGACTTTTTTTTTTTTTTTTTATCAGAGTGGCATTAATTTAAAGGCCAATAAATGACTATGGTAAAATGTTACTTGAGTTTTGGCAAATTCCAAATGTAGAGAAAAGAGTTTTAAATACAAAATTATATTTTAATTTTGTGCCATATTGATGGGAAGTTTTTTTTTTAAAAAAAAAAACAGAGGTCAATTGGATTCATGTAGCTGTGTAGTCATGGCAAACATATTTCAGAAAATTGCCCCAAAAGGATGAGGAAGAGGTATGAAATTAATCTGTTAAAAAAAAAAAAAAGAGCCAGTTTTAGGTGTTTTCAATTTCCACTTCTATCTCAGAATCGGATTTTTCCTTCTTTTTGCTCATTTTCTCAGTTGTTTGTATCTGGAGAAATTGTCACATCCCTTCTCCTTGTTGTCTCTCTAAGCATTAGGTAGTACAATCATGTATTTTTTCAGTTATGTTTTATAAGATGCCACCAATAATTTATTGAGCATCTACTATGTATTAGGTGTTGGCATTTTCAAATGCCTTTCATGTAATCCTCATTGCAAGGCAGGTAGAGCATGGCACAGAATGAAAGCAAGCTCCACCTCAGGAGCTTTGAGACTGTTTCATGTGCCTTCACTTGCAAAACTGCTGGAGATAACACATATCTAGAAGTTTTTCTAGCAGGGCACCTTCATTCAAATATTTCCTCTCTTTCTGGCTATTTGCCCAATGTTTTGGGTGGAAGATTTGAACTATTCTAAGGAACACAGAGAGAAAATTTAAATGCAGGACCCAGGGGGTGGTTCTGCTTGCTGGCTTGGATCCTGGAACGGAAGAGCCTTTCTGGGTTTCCCTGAACACCTGGAGTTGATTTGGGCTGTGCTCTGCCTTCCAATACATTTGCTGAGGTGAGGATGGTGGAGGGGCTAGGAAAGAAATAAATCTAGTGATTAAAAATAGCTTTTGCATGTCAGGTGCCTGAACGAATTTGGGAACATGCCTGCAATCCCTTTTGTCTGGCAGGTCTGAACTCCGGCGCTGCCGAATTACAACTGCTTTCATTTGTTTTTCCTGCTTCCCTACCATGTAATGGTCAAGGGCTCATTGGAACCATGTGTGTGCCTGGTGAGTCACCAAATCCTCAGGACTTCAGTGGTAATAATGTGTTAAAACTCCTTTTGGGGGATGGGGCAGGGGGTGGATGAAGGGAGAGAGGGAGAAGTCTGAGGTCACTTCCTACAGATGTTCAACGTGTCTGGCTGTCTCTGCAGGCTTCTTTCTCAGGCCCTGCTGCAGGACCCAGGGCTGGCTTCTCGGTGCCATTTGGAGCATGCTTTGTTTTGTAGCAGACCATCTCTTTTGTCCTAGGGCAGCTTCCCTCTGCGAAGAGGCATCTACCTCAGAGTTGGCACGTTGTACCCAAACAGTGTGCATTCGCTAGTGGCTGTGTGCATTGGCAGAACAATTGAGATGCTGTAATTTGAGACTGGCTCCCATTTTGGGGCAGTCTCAAATTGGGGATTTTATGTGCAGCTTCTTTCTCCTTTTCTTGGAGTGGTTTCTAATAACCAATGCTTTGGAGGGGATTGGGTATGAGAGAAAGGCAACCAACCAGGTATAGGTTTCCCTAAGTGATGAGATCCCATTGCAGGTATTGTAGTGTCCCATTGTTGGGTGACAATGATTGACTAGTTGGTTGGATGGGTAGCACTGAGCCATTTCTTGCTTAGTTCTTGCTGAGACAACATTTCTGCTTGTCCCCCACCACTTTGTCACATCATTAGTTTTATGAAAACCCAGCCAGGGCTGAGGAGGGACGCTTCTCTCCCTTCTTGGCATTAACCTCAGCCAGAAGTGTTATGGATACTATTAGCTCCCTTGGATGGAAGTCCTGCCTGCCAGGCTTCTAGTGCCTCTAGTGGAGGAGCAAAAAGACACTGGTTCCTGCTACTCTACTTCCCCTCCATCTTTTCATGAATGAGAGGTCAGTGAGAGCATGAACATCTTTATTGGGTGCATCCTCTCGGAGGCCAATAGCAACTTCTCAAGGACAGTCAACTCTAGAGCCATTGCTATCAGTCCCTGTGGCCACAGTCATTTCCCCACTTGGTTGAAAGGAGTAAGGGGATGTTGTCTCCTACACTGGGGCTTGTTTTAGGCAACTTCATCATGGCCCTGTGGTACTTTGAAGTTGTCCTTCTGGTAGTTGCCAGAATCTTCAGCTTTTTTTTTTTTTTGGTATGTTCTCGTTAGGGTTGAAAGTTCATGAGAATATGGGCTGTTAGGAAGAATCTTCACTGAAGCCTTCTGCATGCAGGATGTAGGCGTCAAAGGGACCAGCTACCAACTTCATTAGAAATCATCCCTCTCTGATCCAGCTTTATCAGCTTCCAGATCATGATGCTGTGGCTTTAACAGAAGTTCTGTGATGGGCCAATAAATGAACTGTAAACCTCAATGTAAGAACTAGGGGAAGTAATTTGAAGCTGTTTTCTGTGTCCTTGAGTATATCATCCTCTTGCAAGCTTTCATATCATGATCCTCCTTTATCTCCAACAATCCATCTGAAAATAAAGTATTAGTGAAATGACATGTTGCTTGGGATTGGCTTTGTCATTCTTCATTGTGGTGTGCACATGTGTGTATGAGATGAAATTTTAACTGAGAAGGTTGGTAGATTCTGAATAGGGGCTCATGATACAGTTCCCTCTACCTTTATGTATGTCTTGAAATTGACAAAATGAATACTGTAAAACCTGATGAAGGATAGACACCACCTCTTAACTGACGTTGTCTTCTCCTTTGTTGTCGTCTCCTCCTCCTCCTCCTCCTCCTTCTTCTTCTTCAATAGTGAGATGGAACTGAGGCAAGTGCTTTTCTGCTGAACTGTATCTACAGTCTCTTAGTAGATCTCTTTTAGACATGAATTGAATAAGTGACTTAGTGAGAATACAACAATTATAAAAGTGAGATCATAACTCCCACTTTTTTTTTTTTTTTTTTTTGTGATGCTGGGGATTGAACCCAAGGGCTTATGCATGCAAGGAAAGCACTCTACCAACTGAGCTATATCCCCAGCCCAGAACTCTCACATTTTGACCAACAAGCCAAGTCAACCCCATGATGTCCCTGTCTTTTTTCCTTATCTTCAGAATCCTGTTTTTCCATTTGGAAATTGTTCTTTTCCCCCTACCCACATAAACCAGAAGAGTTCTTTTTGTTTTAAGAAACATTTCATTAAGCCTCTATATAATTAATTAACCTTATATTATGTACACAGTGGCCCATTAGGGTGGCTCAGGAGAATGCTAACAGGGAATGAAGCCAGGTTGTCATTTAACCTGTCTGCATCATGTGGAAGGAAGGAAGCTTCACTATTCTTAGTCCCAGGAAAGGAGAAGAATACAGATGATTATGTAAATGGCTTTTAATAATGTCTTTATGGGGCTAGCTATATGAAATGCAGGGTTTCTTGGAATAGTTTTTAATTTTGAATTCATTCTTCAAATTTATCTGTTTTTAAACCAAGAAATAAAAGGTCTCATTGTTTCTCAGCTCTGATTTTTTTTTTTTTTAATTTGTGGTCTGTTCCTATTTGCAGTGTAATAGAGCAGAAAGACCCCAGACTTTCAGAGTTGGAAGACTGGCTTCTAGCCCTGGTTGGTCTCTCCCCGCTGTGATGTAGGCCAAGCCTTTAATTTGGTGGAGTTTGTTTCCTTACCTGTAAAATGGGAATCTTGTATATACCTTTCTAGGCCCCTCGGAGGTAAAACAGTATATGTGAAGGGTCCTGGTAAACTCTATAGTCCAGGTAAACTTTATAGTTCTCAGATGTAAAGCATATCATTCATCCTTGTATTTGGTTCATGCTGCTCTGATTATGACAAAATCCAACTCACATGGTTAATCTCGTTTTAATCTACTAGAATTTGTCCCTGTCCAGTGGTACACAAGGCTGGGACATATGCCGTGGTTTTCTTGTCCTTAGCTGTGTCCCTTACCACCTAACCCTAGGATCCCAGCTACTTTAGTCTTCTCTTTGTCATTTGTTAAGAACATAGAGAGAAAATTGGAGGCCAGTGAGGCAGTCTGTCTTGAACTTCTGGCTGAACAAAAAGCCAGTTCAAGTTTAAATTCTATGTAACGTTATCAATGTGAGCCACCCGATTCGGAGAACTCGAGAATGGTATAAAAAGATGCATGAAACACCCTTGAAGGGTTCTTGGAAATGGAAGGGCCCTTCACTTTGAGTTGCATACGAGTGAATGGAAAGACCTGTTTTACATTTCACTTGAAACATGTATGAGGTGGTTGGGAGTTGGGCCACAGTGAAAAATGAGCCCATGTTTCCCGCCTTGAAAATGCCATGAGCTCAGTAGGCCCTGCAGATTCAAGGAGAGTGCCTGCTCACACCTGCCTCCACACTGTGCAGTCTTGGATAGTGATTCCTGTATTTATTTAGTACAACTTCCCTCTCAGACACCTAGGGTTATTAAAATAAATATAAACTCAGATTTAGGATCCTAAAAAATGACCAGTGGGCAAGAAATCTAATTATACCATTTGTGTTACCAATATCCAGTGCATGTGTTGACGAGTATCCACTGTGCACTGTATTGGCCTAGTATTTCTTCAGGTTGGGTTCTCAGCATTTTGAGACAAATGTGTTATTTGAATTTAGCATATTGTAATTATTAACACAAAGGCCATTTCAGTATTTTTCCATAATTAGTTAACATCTATGGAGGTTCTGATTAGATGTCTAAGTGCTGTTCCTAAATCTAGAACTATTTGGTGTCTAATGTGAAAGTATTATAATAGGTAATGACAAAAATGTTTAAAGAATAATAGAGAAGTCTGCTTGGGCTAACTATCCTGTAGTGATTTCATCATTATCATTATTGATCTGAGTAATTAACAGAACTGCTACAGATATGAGAAAGCTACATAGTATTTTATATGATGAATTTAATTCTTTCCTAATATCCACTTTTGAACACAATCATTCACCAACATTGAAGTACAGTACTCATACCACTGAAAAAAGACAATCCTGGCCAACTGTTCACTTACATATAGGTTTTTTTTTTTTTTTTTTTTAAACCAGTATTCACCCTTTTCCAATGTGGGCAAAGCTCTGATTTTTTCTTCTGCAGTTTTTGGGTCCAAGGGCATTGCTATGCTATCTTCAGGAGCTTGAGCTCTGGACTGGGTATCATTTGGCCTTGATCCACGTGCAGGTATCTCATGTGTGTTGGGTGGTTTACAGTTGGGCTATGAGCACTTTTTCAGGAGATCTAGCCCTTGAATCCCACAGCCAAAGGGACAGCATCAGGTATCACTAATGGGGCCCCTGTGCCACTGTGGCTGACTTGCACATGAACTGGGCTTTTAAAGAGGCAAAAAAGTAACTCCAGCTGCTTCCTTCAGAAAGAACAAGTGAGAACCCGGAAATGTCAGCTCCACAAACAGGAAGCAAAAACCTGAGTGGAGAATTGTCCACTCAGCACTCTTGCCCAGACCCTGTTGCCAGAGCGTGGAGTTAGAGGAAGTGGACTTAGGGAATCCTCTTAGGCTTTCTGTTGTCGTCCTTGGCCTTCACCACACAAGGGCATCACACTACCCAGGTGCTCATGTTTAGAAGGTGCCTGGGGCCTCCTGGCCCATCTGGTCCTTTACCTCCAGTCTGCAGCAGAACTGCTGCCTGTCCGTTTGGCCTGGTCTGCATTTCCACATGTGTTGTCCTGGCCAGTTTCCGTCATCAGTAAAGTCCTTTTCATCGAGTCATAAATTTAACGGAGGGAACAAACACAAAACAAAAACTCGCACAGTTCAAGTTCATGAATTTATGTTGGATGGGAGTGAAAGAAGCAAAGTTGATTCAAATTTGGAAAATTTCAATTCACAAAGTATTTGTCGACGGACTCAAATGTTTAGCCTTGTCCTAGGGATTGGGGAGGTTGTAGTTGACCCTTCTCTCAGAAGCAACACTCTGGTTAACTGCAGTCTTTTGTTCTGAGTGAAAATGACTTGTCTTCTAAAGGGGAGACATTTCTGAACCCTCCACTTAGCTGTTCTCTGACTTGGAGAATGGGGACCAGTGGGGAGCATTGATGTGTTTCTCAGTGACTCATTTGATGATTCCTCCATTGTTTGAAGGAATGGATGTTATGTAATTAATGTCCCATCCCTTCCCCCCATTTTATTTTTCCCTAACAAGCTGGGATTTTCCATCATTTTGTCAATCTTCCTGGAGGGAGGCATGGTGATTTTTCCATTAGCTTTTTTTGGGGCATGTCCCAGAGCAATCCAAATCATCACTCCCAGAACTTCAGTTCCCCTGCCATTAGCAGATCCTGGGATAGCTGCTACAGTGAGCCCTCCTGTCCTTCCTGATCAGAGCCTGAACTCTGAGCAGTTTCCTGAAAGCAAATAGGAGGGAAGGTGCCACCTGCCCTTTGTTTGTACAATATAATTTCCATTCATTTCAACATTCAGGGGCAATAGATTTACTTCTTGAATATATTTACTGCTATTTATCTTTTTCCTTCTATGTTTCCATTTTATTTAGCCAATAAAACATCATGTATGCTCAGGAATTTCTAGCCAAGGTTTAGAAATGACGAGCAAGGAACTTGGGTAGTACCCTTGTGCTGAAACTTCACCCTTTGATAAGTCAATTTCAACCTGTGGTACACTGAAGATTCAGGCCTCTAGAATAATCATTGCAGTAAGAGCATCCCGCCAAAGGTCACAGGAAGAGGAGGAAGGATTATCTTTGGGTGAGAAATTGAGCCTGAGGTAAATTCAGGAAATGTTTGGCTTTGGCTGCTTTGGCAATAGTTACTGACCTACACTGTGAACAGGGTGGGCAGGTGCAGGAGGGGCTGGACAGAGCAGAGGTAAAGATGCACGTGGATCTAGCATCAGATCTTGACCCGTCGGCAAATCTGCAGGTGTTGATATCTCACTCTTCCATACCACCTATGTAAACCAAATCTACTGTATTCAGCACTTCAAATTTGCCTACTTATCTTATCAGTATTACCCTTTTTATAGTCACCAAAGCCACCATCAGCTCTCACCAGAACAAATGCCCATAACTTTCTTACAAGTCTTCCCATTTCCATTCATACTCACTTTCTAAACCATTTATTATAGAATAGCCAAGGCTATCTTAAAACCAGATGTGGTCAGCTCATTCCTCTGCATAAACCACAGTGATTTTCTGTTTTGCTTAGGATAAATTGATAAATTCCTTAGCAGGTTTCCTGCTTACCTCTTCAACTTCGTCTCAAGCAACTGTGCTCCTTAATCATTGTGCATTGACCTTTTTGGAACTAACACATGTCAGATCCCCTTGTTGATCTCATTACCTTCATCTGTACTATTTCCTTTGGCTAGGATTACGGTCCTCTCCCTTACTGCCCATCAGGGTCACTCACCTGGATTCTGTCTTAAAAAACAGATTTCTGGGTTCCAATCTGTGCCCAATATATCTAGCATGGGGCTGAAAATTTGCATTTGATAATTTCCAGTGGTGCTGACTCAGCTGCTCTGTGTGCCATGCTTTGAAATCTACTGGCTAGTAGCCTTTACTTCCTAAATGCCTATGCATCCTCAAATCTCATGTCAAATTTCTCTCTTCTCCTAAGGGATGCCTTTGCTGGCTCTCCAGACTGGCAGGAATTCCTGTTTATGTTAACATGCATCTTGTACTTCTCTTTTGAAGCCTTTATGACATCGTAGTTGATCATTTAATTGTGTCAATAGAATTTTAACAACTATATTCACTGCACGAATTAGATATCCAAGGGCCATTTCTGACTTGTTTACTGCTCTTTCTTTCTTTAATTCCTTGGCTATAACAAATGCTTGGTTCAATGAATAAATATTGTTTTCTTTTTCATAGATAACTGAAATATGTAGTAACACTAATGCTTTCAGTGACTATAAAAGAGTAAGGGCTATGTATGGGTAAACTACTAGAGGTAGAGGTATACAGAAGAATAAGCATGTTTTATTTGTAAGGAATGCAGGACATTTTAGGCAAGAATTAGGGGCCTAGCATGTTGTGGAAAGTGCATTAAATTTTACCTGCTCTGATGAGGATGTTAACGTAGTTTTTTTTCCAGCTTGCCTTATTCAGTCTATCCATACTCTATTATATTTTATGAATGCTTAATTGCCAATTTAATTTGTTGTTCATATACTCGTTTTAATTATTTGTTCTTTTCTTAATACATGGCATTAGAATGTATTTTGACATATTAAACTTATATGGAGTAAAATTTTTCATTCTTCTGGTTGCATATGATGTGTAATTACATTGGTCATGTATTCATAAATGAACATAGGAAAATAATGTCAGATTAATTATACTAGCTTTCCTACTCATAGTCTTCCTCCTTCCTTTCATTCCCCCTTTGTCTAATCCAAAGTATTTCTATTTTTCCCTACCTCTACCTGCTTATTGTAAGTTAGCATCACATATCAGAGAGAACATTTGGTTTTCTGGGATTGTCTTATTTCACTTAGCATGATAGTTTCCAGTTCCATCCATTTACAGGCAAATGCCACAATTTCTTTTCTCTTTATGGCTGAATAATATTTCATTTTTTCTTATAGATATGGAATGTGCAGATGTCCCATTATTAACTCCAAGCAGCAAAGAAATGATGTCTCAAGCATTGAAAGCTACTTTCAGTGGTTTCACAAAAGAGCAGCAACGACTGGGAATCCCAAAAGGTATGCTTTTGTTGTTAGAAAAACAAAGACCAGGGTCAGACCTGTAGAGAAAGCTATTCTCTCATCTGTAGTGTGTGAGGCAGACACTGCACTAACTACACTTGAATCAGCAGCTCTGGATTGTTGTAGATATACATCAGACCAACCATAGATACGCATATTGATGATGATCCGTCCTCCCAGTTTTGGCACCACCATTTTGGTCTTAGGACAGTGGCTCCTGAAGCTGTCTGCATATTCAAATGCTCTATTATCTTTGAAAACTTCTAAGGCCAGGCCCCTATTCCTGATTGATTCAGTCTTAATAAGTAGTGGCATCCATGCTTTTTAAACTCTTCAAATGATCATAAAGTCAGACAAGTTGGGGAAACTTTGTCTCAGAGTCATTCTGAGGCAACATTGGTTGAACTTAGTGAGGTGTATTTCTTGGAATTTACTGATTGCTCTTTTCTCTTCCATGTACTTTGGCAAAATGTGTTTGCCCTCTGGGTGTTCTTATCTGAAAGGGTTTATTCAGGAATGGAAGGGGTCTGGAATTGTCAGAAAGAAGAAGTGAGTTTAGAACACATCATCCTTCACCAAGGAGCTTTTTTTTTTTTTTTTTTTTTTTTTTTGTGTGTGTGTGTGTGTGTGTGTGTGTGTGTGAGCAATCCAGAGTGGAAAGTGTACTTTTCTGTTAAGAGTAAGGCTTTCTTTAGATCAGGACAGTTTTGCTGCTAGATGAGTGATTTCCAGCCTCATTAAACACAAGCTTTAGATAGATTCTGTGAATGTACCTGTACACATTTTTCCATGTTTTACAACTTTACCACAAACCTCAGAGGACAGGAATGTCCAACATCCTTTCAGGATCACAAAGCAGAATAAAGTGAATTCTGGTTTTTCCAACATCTCATGACACAGTTTGCTAGATGAAGTGGCCACTACTACCTGCTGTCGGCTGAGTTCTTTGAGTGTCATTGGCAGGTATAGCTGTATTAAACCTCAGGTCATGTAAGAAGATTATATATAGTCTGTACTACAGTGCTACTCAAAGCAGAGCCTGTGATGTGAACAGACTTGGCTGGGTACCTAGAATGATATAGGCACGTAATAATGTCATTTCCAAGTGCCATTCGAATGACTTAGAAATACTAATTGCTACAATTATTACGAAGTATCATTGACTAAGATAAAAATAATTGAGAATAATGATCCCAAGTATATTATAAGGGTTAAGAGCAGGGAAAGCGATATGCAGTTTGTAGAAAACTCTTCAGTTTGTTGTTATTGCTATTAAAGAAGCCATTTATTCCCTTGTGTGAGCTTTTAAAAAAGCCTAATAGAAATAAGGCAGTGAGAGAGGAGATTCATGGAAAGCCTTACCTGAATGGAAGGCAGGAAATACTCACATATATGTCACTTTGTGGCTGACTACAGTTCCTCCTAGCTGGCAAAATAGAGGAGGTTGAATGTTGAAGATAGAGAGGAGGGTTATGGAGGCACCTCGTGGTTTGAATTCACAGGTTGGTGCTTCCTAATTCAGTGGATAGGATAGTGCCCTCAGATACGTACGGACCCTTTAGCATCTCTTCCAGAGCCTAATCTACTCCACCTTTCTTGCTGTCTTTCCTCAGACCCTCGGCAGTGGACCGAAACCCATGTTCGGGATTGGGTGATGTGGGCTGTGAATGAGTTCAGTCTGAAGGGTGTGGACTTCCAAAAGTTCTGCATGAATGGAGCAGCCCTCTGTGCCCTCGGTAAAGACTGCTTCCTTGAGCTGGCTCCAGACTTTGTTGGGGACATCTTATGGGAACATCTAGAGATCCTGCAAAAAGGTACATGTGTGACAACTGTTTGTGTGTGTTTTTTTTTTGGGGGGGTGTGTGTGAAGTTGCTGTAAAAGTAAGTAGGACCCACCCAGTGGTGGGACACCGGTACCATTATCTGTGGGTGTCCAACCTTGGCTTAAGTGGCCCATGGGGATGTGCCTGGGGTTGTGCCTGACACCTAGCAGGTACTCAGTGTGTGATTGTTTCTTTTTCTTCTACTGGGAGTTCAGATTTTTATCTTTAGCATGTTTGTACTCCTGTAACTTCTTGGTGGGCAAAATTCTGATGTAGTTTTTCTCTTAGAGCTGTGAACTCTTTGAACAAGCAATGTCTACAGCCAACCCTGGAATAGTTTTAGGACTTTTTTTTCCCCCTGGAACTCTTAATGCTCCCTTGATCTACAACCACATAATACCTGGTCACATCTACAGAAAAGCTTAGTTTTTCTGAGGTCATTAATAAGACAGGCTTCTCTGCCTGCTAACTGGATGGGTATTCATGGTGCAGAATACCTTTTACATCTGGAGCAGCAACTGAGGTTATATCAGGACGCTGTGTCGCAACCTTGTAATGACATGGCCTTCCCTACCGGCCTCCTCCAACCTTTTTGGACCAAGTGACTCATGTCCCACAGCCCTGGCCGAGTATAGAAACAGCAATAGGCGGCAAACTTGGGTGTTTTTGCACTTATTTTTCTGTATTTCTTCTTAAAATAAATCGCAGTTACCAGCAGTCAGCAGTGCCCTCCAGCTGACTGTAAGCCTAGAAGCCCGTTGCCCTCTCTAACCCAGGCCCACCCTCTCCCTGTGGTCCACCAACTCCAGCCCTTGGCACAGACACCGGAGGAAGGGTGCAAAGCTCAGGATTAGCACTCTTGTTTCCATATAATGCCTTTCTTTGTTTAAGAATATTTTCCACTCCTGCAGTGCTCAAGAGAGACCCGAATTAGATTCTTCAGGGCACAGAAGTGTGATCTTGATTCGGTCTCTTCAGCCTCTCTGTTGATAAATAATAAATAAATGAACAAAATCAACAGTCGAGTGAATCTTTCTGTGGCTGCTGCTACCCAGGGCTGGCGGGCAGTTTCGCAGTCTTCTCAGAGCACTGGCATGCTCTTGGTATAGCTGCACGCACACCCACTCCTAGGTGTTGACACGAGCGACCTGTTTATAGAGGGATATGATATGGCAGACTCCTTGCAGATCTGATTTAACTGCTGGCTTCTAAACACAACAACATATTTCACCAGACCGTGTAACCCAAATATGTTCTACAAATATAATGTTTCCCTCTGTTTATCATAATGGAGCTGCCAGGTGCTCTCGGGGTGTCTAAACCTGCCCTGACCGTGGTTATAATTAATATCTATGTAGTGTCTCCTTGTTTACAAAGTGCTTTAAAATAAATTTTCTCATTGTATTATCAAAATAACCCCGTGAGATAGAAAGGACAAGGACTACTACGGTCCTTGTCTGTGAAATGAGGCTCAGGTTAGGTGATTTCCTCAATTAACCACTCATTTCCTTAAACTTTCTGATTTATCTTTTAAATCTTTTTTCCCATTTAACTTTTTTGGGGTCTATGTATGTATGTGTGTATGTATATATGTATGTATGCATTTATTTATTTATGTGCTACTGGGATTGAACCTAGGGATGTTTTACCACTGAGCTATATCCCACACCCTTTTAATTTTTTATTTTGTGATCCTCCCAGTCACTTTGGAATTATAGACATGTACAACTGCATCTGAAGTTCTTTTTGGTACCAGGGATTGAACCCAGGGGTGTTTAACCACTGAGTCTTTTTATATTTTATTTAGAGACAGAGTCTCACTAAGTTGCTTAGAATCTTGCTAAGTTGTTGAGACTGGCTTTAAAAATTTAATTTCCTACCCTGTGTTCTTTCTCTGATAACGTGGATTCATGTGGAGCTCCTGGACCCTCCAACAGATTTGGCCTGCCTTTTGGCAAAGAAATAACATAAGGGTATTTAAGAGGCGTAGGCTGTAATCAAGTATGTTTGAGATTAGAAATCATGTCATCCCACCCAACGTTCCATCACGATAGGCAGTGAAAAATCATCCCTCCTCAGATTCATGTACTTGAAGAGATGAGCAAGATGTTTGTACTGAGGCTATAGCTTCAGTTCTGTCATGAAACCAAAGCCACACAGCACCCAAGAACATAGCTTTTTGGGGTGGGGTGGAAGGCCAAAGGTACAGGGGATGTTTCAATCTGATAAGCTACTAAAACAAAGTTTAATCATTTTATCTCAACTGGGAACTGTTTTTTTTTTAACCCGTGCAGGCATAAACTTGTTTACCCATCAGCCTTTGCTCCCAAGAAGCTATCAAATACCTGAGGAAAAGCCTAAACCAACATGCTGTCTTTATGTCTGATTGTTATAGTCAGATGGCTCCAAAAAAGAGTCAGAGGCTACCCTATTTGATTTTAGGGTAACTAGAGGATTCTAAGCTTACAGTGGCTTGGTAGAAAGCATTTCTGTCCTTGGTTACTCTTGCTCTCCGTTCCTTTCTACTTCCCTGGGAAGTTGGCATCTGGCAGCAGTTTGACTATGTGACTCTCCTCTTCCTTTACACAGCCCTCGTGGTTCACCAAGTGGAGTCACCTTACCAGTGTCCCCACTTCTTGTCTGGGCCTGAACTTGAATTCTGAGAGCAATGGGGAAAACACAGAACAAAACCTAGACATCTGTGAGAAGAAATGGAGGATATAAGATCTACCTGCCTAAAGACTGCAGTGTATTTCTGAATAGGTTTTGCATCGATCAGTTTGAGGGTTAGGTAGTGTTGGTAACCTGCCGACACAGAGTCAAGCCTTTGATTCTAATCTCTAACATGATACTTGTACATACTGCAGAAAGACATCGAGAGGCAGGGTTGAGTGTTTTCCCAACCCTGGGTGATTACTCACTGATTCTCTTTCCAAGATATTAAATCCCATTTTGCAGCTACTGAAATAATAAACTTAGCCATACTTTCGTGATCTCATCCCTAGACAAGGCCCCAGCCAGGGTAGACTCAGACACCAACTCAGTTAATGAATTTGCAGATTTCTTAGAAAAAGAGTTGAGGTCATTGTGGTCCTTGGATCCAAGATCCTTTCAGGCCAAGTGTTACTTGTGTGCTGACTTCTTTATCTCACTCCCTACCCTGTCCGTTGCAGAGGATGTGAAACCGTATCAAGTTAATGGAGTCAACTCTGCCTATCCAGAATCCCGCTATACCTCGGATTACTTCATTAGTAAGTTGCATCTTTACTCCTCTTTCTTCGCTTTGCTCATTATAATGGGACCCTAGGAAAAGTTTCATCTCAGTTGATCTCAGCCTCCTTTGTGGTAATTCCATGGAAAATAGTATTTTCTTAACTGTAGACTGTTTGTTATTTTTAAAATTACTTCTTACAAATATAGTGGTTCAACCTATGTACCTGCCATATGAATTTGCAAGTTCTTAGATACTATAGAGGAACAACATTACAACTTGACCCCGAAACTTTTGATCTATTTGATCCTATAGACTATAGTGGCCATTAGAGGATTGGGTTAGGGATTTGATCTTGGCCTTGTTCTTTCCTTTTTTACTAGTAGAGATGACAATATTTCCTCTGAAATCCTCTTTTAAGAGCATACCATATAGCTTTGCCAGAAAACAGATTTATGCTTTATAGTTAAGAATAGCTAAGTCCTAGAGAGGTGACTAGAGGAGCAGAATTAGTGCAGGACTCTTCTTATCTATGGCCTCACTTTCAAAGGGAGTCCTAAACAGGTTTATTTTCATTTTACCTTTTTACTTTATTTAAATTTTTATTCCAATAAAGCAGTAATTTTGTTAAATTTTTATTCCAGTAACAGCAATGATATTAGCTGCCTTATCTCATGAGCTTATTCAGTGTCAAAATGTTGGTAGGCATTTTACATAAATACTTTCATTTGATCTCTCTTATTGATAAGGAAATTAAGTTAGAAAAAGGAAGTTTCTTATCAAGGGTCACAGTGAGATTAAAAACCCAAGGCCTTCTGACAAAGTTTTTCCCTTTTATTCTCTACGGTAACTAGCTCATTCCATGTTGTAGGGCCATTGTGGGTTGTAAAGAGCTGCTTGTTTTTAGGTACACATTTCTCTTCTCTCTAATTGCAAATGTTCTCCATCTCCAGGTTACGGTATTGAGCATGCTCAGTGCGTCCCTCCATCTGAGTTCTCAGAGCCCAGCTTCATCACAGAATCATACCAGACCCTCCATCCCATCAGCTCGGAGGAGCTCCTTTCCCTCAAGTATGAGAACGACTACCCTTCCGTCATTCTGCGGGACCCACTCCAGACAGACACCTTACAGACTGACTACTTTGCCATCAAACAAGAAGTTGTAACCCCAGACAACATGTGCATGGGGAGGACCAGTCGGGGTAGGTTAGCTGTCTTCTATAAAAGCTCTTTGGTTTCTAAGAATTACCTACTTTTGTGAAATTTTCAGGTCCTAATTTTCCCTCCTCATTATTAGCCCTTCAGATTCCTTAGCTTCAGCCGTTCCAACTTAGAATGTCCAGATGTTGAGACTTTTCCATGGAATTGCAGTCATGTCTATTATGATGACAAATACCCTCAGGGTCCATGGAATAATTTAAGTTTGGTAGGATAAATAATCAAATGACTTATTTGGATAAGTCATTTTAGACACTTATTGAGTGTCAAAAATGTTGGTAGACATTTTACATAAATTTCATTTGATCTCTATCCAAATAATAACTCTGTTTGAATCTGGTCATTTTTAAGGTCTTTCTCTTTGAGAGGATTTTGCTCAAGATATACATAAAGAAAAATTGATTCATAAAGAAAATCATGACCATCTTGAAAAACCTGTAAGCTTTGCATATGTGCTGCTGTTCTTTCCACTGTGTTCCTGAGTCAGACCCTAGAACCTGGCTTGGTACCTGGAATGACCTCTGCTGTTAGCCTGAGATCTTTAGCCTCCTGTGACTTCTTTGGTTTGGGAAGATACAAGATGGTTAACCAACAATTTATTTGGAACCACTCATCAACAGTGTGGTGAAAGTGTGTATTTAGTTAGAGCACCAGGGAAAGAGGTGGCCAGAGGCTTCCAAAAGAAGATACTCTTGTTGACATGGCTATTATAATAATGATAAAACATTCACTGGCAGTGAAGTAAATGTTTCGAAATAGAGTTGGTTGACATGAAGCAAGAAAGGTAAAATAACAACCCAACTTCGAAGATCAGGGCAGAACACTCAGAGGTATTGCCCACGTAGAAATGTGTCCAGATTGTTTTGTTTCTGAGAAAAATGCTGTCTGTTATAAGAAGGGGCTTGGCCATCCAAGAAAGAGCTAGCTGATTTCTGAAAAGTTAGAAAGGTTGATTTTTCTGTTGGATAAATGGGAAAGAATTATAAGTAGAACAAGGGACAGGAGAAAGCTAAGCCAAGTGATTGATGAAGCATTTGCTCCCAGAAGTCAGTCTTGAGCCAGCCTATTAATGATTTCTGTTTCAATGACTGACTTCTTGTGATGCCCATTCTGTGGTTTTGGGAGGAGATCCCAGGACACCCTTACTTTGAAGATCACCAGTGCACATTCGGGCCATACATACTGTCATCTTCTTTAAGCGTTCAGACTCACACTTCCTCCTAGCAAGCCTTGGGATATCCAACAGGCCTTGTGCAGGGAAAGTCCCTGCAAAAATCAGAACCCATAATTGTCCTTCTTAGGGCCCCAGGGTGTTTGTGTTTTCAGACCAAAGGGGATGGGCGGCACCAGTTCTGCCTTCCCCTTTCTGAGTGTCTTTTATTTTGGGTGCATGTCTATTTAAATACATTCACACAAGTGTGTGTGTGTGTGTGTGTGTCTTTCTTCTCAGGCAGGTCAAACAAAGCATTAGAACAACTTTCTCATGGTGCTTTCTCTGCATATGTGTAATGAGACTGAATTGTGGGTTTGGGGTTCAGCCATATTGTAACTTTGGATAGATCTACTGTCACATTGTTTTAAAATTGCGTCTGGCTTTGCATTTGTATAATTGTCCCCTTTTCCCTCTCCTTTCCTTGGTTCTTGGTTTTGGTCCCCACCACCCCTTCAACCCAAACTAATGATTATAAACCAAAAATGACCCTTGCAAAGGAATATGAGGTATTTTTCTTTGGCTCCACTCACTTCTTCCCTCCAAGCTTTAGGCCACAAAAACTTAAGGGAAAAACCATTTTGTGCAGGTCCACTTTTTGTATGTTAGAAGTGCTGCAAATAAGACCAATTCCAAAAGCCAACTGAATCTGAGATGGTGTGATTGGTCCAGACTGAAAGCATTACTGTTAGCAGATTGTTATTAATAATCATGGTATTCATATACTGCATTATAGTATACAAAGTGCTTCTCTGTCCACTTACTGGGACTCTAAGGACTGTCTTTGTGCTAGTCTGTTCAGCGGGTTGCTGTAGGTCTCCCATCTACTGTTATGAGTGCTCTGAGGTCTGTTTCGCGGAGTCGGATAGCTTTAGAAGGACCTTGCTGAGGCATTTCTCAGAGAAGCTGGCCTGTAGACATCTCAGAGGTCATGTGCTTCCCTGCGTGAGCACAGTAGCAGAACCAAACGTCTAATCCAGTTGGATTCAACCCATTTTTGGAGAAAATACCCGTAAATGAATGTTTCCAGCTCTAGGGTTGTGAAATAGAGCTAAAATGAAAGCTGCCTTCTGCTATAAACCACAGTTCTCAACCAAGTTGCATTTGGCTCACGTCTGAGAGGTTGCCAGAGAGTGGTGATGGCCTAGTTTAGTGCCCTTGCTTATTGGATTCCTTGGAAACTCAACTGTCTTGCTTACGGAAATTCCAATCTCCTTGCCCTCCAAATATAAAGGTGGCTAATAGAGATAAGAATCATTTCAGCAGACTTAAGCATTGATAGTATCTAAACATTGGTGACTTGGTGGGATGTTCTTAACAAAAATGGAAGTTCTCTTTCTTAGGCTTTTGGCATGTTTATCTCACAGAGAAATTGAATGACTATTAAAATCAGTAGCTGGTCTGAGCTAACACCTTTTTATGAGATGCCAGAAAATTTCCTATTCTACTATAACAAGGCCACATTCTGGTGGTGGACTATTTTTCCTGAGTCATTTAATGTGAATTTCTAGAAGAGACAACTCCTTTACTTTTAATGATACTAAAGAGGTACAGATGTAACAGTGTTGGGGTAGGCTAGACTGATCCCTCCATGAAGCTCTTTGATTTGCCTTCTGGAATTTGCCCTCAGTGGATGAATAGAGGAAGGAATGAGATGAAGCAGATAATACTCCTCTCTATTATAAGTGGTACTGGAGGGAATATGGATTGCAGAAAATCTACAACAGTGGATTATATAAAAAAATACTCAGCTTCGATATGTTTTATGCTTTTTAAAAAAATTTTGGGAGCAGCATATTTTCCTATGAATTTAATTTTGATTTTGGCATCTGCTCATGTTTGAACCTTATTTGTTTCACCAATCCACACTGCTAAAGGGGAAAGTACCCTGGAA